GCAAGAACTTGCCTATCTAGTTCCCTTCTGTGGGGGCAAAGGAGGAGATGGCTAGCTATTCCCACTGATTTCAGCTGAAGATGTGGGTGCTCAAATTCTCTAAACCAGAACACTTGCTTATGAGATTAAACAGTCTTCATATGCCTATATTTGAGCCTCGGAGTGTAAAACCAGGGCTGGACTCTCTTCAGCATGTAAGATGACATGTCATGTTAACTACCAGCTTCAGAAAACACTGAGCAAAAGGCACAAATTGGGCCCTGAGTCTTTAAAAGAAACATATCACTCTTCTGTAAATCCACCCCAGGACTGCAAGGAATACCCCCTTTCTCCAGGGCTGCTTCTCCCCTTCTAGAACTCAGCTCTGCTCCATGCAGCCCCTACAGCCCAAGGGTCCCAAGGACGTCGCCACCAAGAAGCCTGAGGTGGTCCTATAGGACATGCAGCAGGGCAGGCATGGGAGTCGCAAACTGCAGCCTCCCACAGGAATGAATTTTGGTTTCTCTGCTCTAGATGTCTCTGTGAAGGCCTCATGCCCTGTATGAAGTAATTCAAGATCTGCTGATGAGAGAGATAAATTAGATACCTCATATATGCTGCAGGGTAAGAAACTGTACATCGGTAGCAGAGTAATTTGACAGAGACAAGTAGGTTTGGATAGACAAGACCAGTAAGTAGCCATAAGAGAGTCTTGAAAAGCCACATGAACTGCTTGTGCCTCCAGTCAGTTCTGTGTCTACCAGGTAGCGTGTGGGATCACCTCCTGCCACAGGCCTCTGGGTGAATGGCTTTCCCTCAGGTGCCTTGATTTCTGCATCTGTCTTACAGGCACCCTGACAGGGATGGCTTTGTAAAGCACTATGAACTCTCCTGAATGAGGAGCACTGCACAGGAATGTTTAAAAAAAATAAAAGAAAGGATTTTTGTTAAGGAAAGGCACAGCAAGAAAACACATAAAAAAAGATTAAGTATTGTTGAAATGTATTGACCTCATCATCAGGGTTATTCACGTTATAAAGAAGTCTTCATTACGCGGAGCTTTGCTGTTTGCAGATGTCGCCTTCTGGAAAGAGTCTCTCCATTGCCAGCTCCTGCCTGCTGTTCTGCACAGCATGGCTGCCTGACCAAGCACACCACCAGACCGAACAAACACAGAGCCACCGTTATCAAGAAATGGCCAATCTGCCTCCTACTGTAGCCAGGTAACAAGGGTGAAAGGAAGCCTGATGCAGAACAAACTCTAACGACCCGGGCGTCTGTTAATTTTCTTTCCTCCGTATTTCTCTCTTTTAATGGACGGACAGTGAGTTTGAGGCCAATAGTTCTAGGGAACTCTGGATGCAGGGGACATTTTCAAAGCCTATAAAAAGACCAGGTGTACAGATACTCCAGAAAAGGGGATGTTTCAGAAAGAAAAGCAAAAGATGCAAGATTTTGGCATGGGTCATGCTAACTGGGAGCAGAATGTAGGTGGGAGAAAAGAGCTTGTTGGGAAACTGGAGGTTGCAGTATCAAGCTGGAAGGTTGCCATAGTGTGGGACTAATGCTTTGGCAGCTGCAAACAAAAGGAAGGAGGAATGTAAGAAGTAACATGAAGAAAAAGCGTCAAGAGGTATCTGGAAGTATCAAGACCTATGAGAAACAGAAAAGGCAAAGATGATGCTAAGTTTGGTAGAAGGGAGGATGGCATTGCTACTGACAAGGAAAAAGAGTGGAAAGGAAACAAGTTCTAGAGAGAAGGATGTGGGAAAGATAAGGCATTGCTCTGCCCAATCAGAAACACACCTCAATCTTAATGCTCAGAAAAATGCCTCAGAAAAACAGAAATCAATTGTCAGATTTTCTTCTTTTTTTTTTCTTGTGTTTTTTTTATGTAGGAGTGACTGCATAAACTGGGAAATCTCTGCTCTATGTCCACCTCCACCGCGTCCTTGATGCGCCCTTGTCCAGAGGAGCCTAACTTCAAAGTGAACTGCTCAACCTGCCATCTGTCTAAGATGTTGCAACAGTTCCTGAAGAAACCTGCAAGTGGTCCTGTAGAACAATCTGTCTAAAAATCACACGCATCTGCACAACATTTGGGCAGATAATGTTTCACCTGCTTTGATTTAAATGCGAACATGTATTAGTCAGGATCTCAGTCTGGGCTCTGATCCCGCAATCTATTAGATCCACTCATCTGCAAAAGCACAGCAAGGTTTTTAGCTGCGCTAATAAACACGCGGGACCCAAGACTCTTTAAGTCACCTGTCCGTCTGTAAAATTCCCACAGTATTAACCATTCAAACATTACAGACAAAAATATAAGACGGGAAATAATTTGGGATATTTTTTAAAAATTAATTTTATTGTACTCTATTCAGAGTCTAATGCTTCCTTACAACCAGTGTTCTTGAAGACAGTAATAGGGCTGCAATGATTATTTCAAATTGTCATTGTTATTGCTATCTTTTGGTGTTCATGTATAATAACACTAATGATTCTTTATACATCCCTGTAGCAGGAAATCAGGCAGTCTAAGAGAACAACCTTTCCTATGTATGTTTTTGCTGTGTTGTTTTCAGTTAAAATATTTATGATGGGTTGTTTTTTTTCCTTCCCTGTAATTATTATTTGTAAAGGGTATATTGCACAGCAAATGGAATATCTGTACACTTTCACTGTATTTTTTGCAGCAGACAAATTTCCTAGAGCATATATATATTTGTCTTCTGGCTCCCTTTATTCTTTAAAGTTTCTTTCAAAGGGGTGCCTAGTACTGCTGATGCTGGAATTACTGTTAGTCAGTATCAGCACTGGTGATAAACTCCAGCTAGTGTTCTGATTAGAGGTCACTCGTAATTAGTAGTCATTGTCCTTTGAATTTAACAATGGAAAAATAAAACTTTATAGCGACAGATTAGCCTGGCCATCAAAATTACAGCACTTTAGCATTCAGGAGAGAAGATTACACGACACACTATCTCCCAGATTGATAACAGCAGATAACTAAGGATTCACATGTGAGATGTAGAAAGTCTGTAAAAGAATAAAAGGAGAGAAAGGAGGATTAACTGTCCAGATGCTATGTGATACATTATAATGAGACTTCTACACTCCTGTTTTAGTGAGCTGGGTCTCCTCTTGTACCCACTGAGGGCAAGGTGGGACACTACTACGAGTTTCTGTGAGAGTAGCTTTCAAACCCGAGGTGCTACCCAGTTCCTCTACACACATCCCCACCTTCTGCAGATATCTGGCACATGTGTGCACGACTCTTAGTCTTGGGCAAGTGTGTTAATAAAATACTAATACTCAACTTGTTCACAAAGTTGTGCAGTTGACAGCTTTGTGCGTATTCATTTCATATTCATATTCATTCTATCTCCACCTCATATCAATTCACAAATCTTGATATGGACGTGATACATAAATTAGTAAATCTTCCAATTTGTGTATATCATATGGATACGATAAAGATTCATGACAAAACAGACTTGACCCTTACTCTAGTCATTTTTGCAGAATTACCATTTATCAGCTTATGTAAAAGTTAACCAAGTCAAGAAAAAAAAGTTTCTAATTCCATTACAAACAACAGGCAGGAATGGGAACCAGTGTCAAACTCAGTAAATACATGATATCCTTGATACAATTGACTTTAAATGTATTTTTGGGCATGTTTATTTTAGCTACTAAGTCAAATTAACTCAATATTTAAAAAACCAACAAACAAATCACAAACCTCCACAGCCTCTGCTTTAAAATCTAACAGGAAGCAAAGATGAACCAGCCAGACACTGGTACTTATCAAATCTGAAAGAAAGGAGTTGTCTGGCTGGATTAAAACGGATGAGGTTTGTTTGAGTGATGACATTTGTCCTTCCATTGCTGAGGGGAAGAATTTTGCAGCGTTTTCTTCAGCTTATACTCCCGAAGACGAGAGGATTAGTCCTACTACACAAATATTTGCACGTAAGGAGAGGCACACTTTCACACCTCAGAGATAGAGAGTACTGCAAGTTGCATTATCTGCAGTGTCCTTCCCAAACCACTACCAACTTGAATACATTCCCGAGCGGTGCACATCATTTCTCACTTCTGCCAAGGGAGAACTCATTCACTGAATAGTTGATCGTTTGAGGCTGAATTTTTTTTTCACTAGTTTATAAAATGCAAGTAATTAACAGTGCACGCACATGTGTGTGTGTGTGCACGCACGTCCATGTGTGATTTATTTTCATTCCCACTAATGCCTCTTTTAAAACCAGACCTGGCTAGCATCAAATAAATTTACCCATAAAATCAAAGTTACCACACAATATCCGAATTGTTCCAAATGAGCCAAACTCCGAATTCCCTCCACTTAGAGCTGCCTGGGCATAGAGATAAAATTACAACGATTTATAATTTGCCATATCGAGGGCTATTGTTTTTGGAAATGTTGGGTTTGAACTTAAGAGCCAAATAATAACGTTTGAACTTAAGAGCCAAAAAACCCCAAAGAACACAACAACAAAACCATCAGAGTCACCGTTCGTAGCTGGAATAAAAACCCCAAATCCCAGTAATTCTGCTCCGTTTTGCCTGGGAGCGTGTCCAGGAGTGGGATTTCTTGAACAGAATATAACCTCTAAAAGGAAAAGTATTTCCAAACGTGTCATGTGGGGCTCTGTTGTTTCTTTTCTTTTATTCCCTCTCCTACTTAAACGAGGAGGAAAGAAACCCTGACAGCGGGAAGACTTGTCAGCGTTTAGCCATCCATAAAAATGTTTTTCCCCGCGCTCCTCCTTTCGCTCGCCGCCCTGGCGTCGGTCTGTCTCATCTCGCTGCTCCGCGGCCCCAGCCCCCGCCCGCACAGCGCCCCAGCCCAGCGGGGCCGGGGCCGCCAGCCGGGGGGACACGGCGCGGGGCAGCCCCGGCGCGAAGTTTGGGGCGGCGACGGCGGCGGGACTGTCCTCCGTCCCCCCTGCCACCCCCTCCGCCCTTCCCGGGACGCGGGCGGGAGCCCCGGCTCTTACCTGCCAGCGGGCACGGGCTGGGGTCTCGGCGCGCCGCGGGCGGGAGCGGGGCTGCAGCTGCGCGGCGGCGGCGGAGCCAGGGCGCAGCGGCAGCGGCAGCAGCAGCAGCAGCCCCGGCCGGCGTCAGTCAGGCGGGAGCCGCCAGGCTGTATTAGTGCGCCGGGCTGGACCGCGGCCAGCAGCGCCGCGGCCGCCGGCCCGCCCCTGCGCCCCCCCGGCCGCGCCGCCCCCGCACACAACTCACAACCGCACACACCCACACAGGCACATCCACACAGGCGCACACGCACTTTCACACGTTTGCACACTCGCACACGCTCACGCAGTTACACACTCACACACACGCTCACACACCGCGCACCTCCCAGCACACGCACCCACCGCACGCCGCCCCCTCCGCCGGCTCACCCGTCCGCAGACGCCGAGTTCTGCCCCTCCGGCGCACGGGCACACGGACACCCCTCTGACAGAGTTCACCGCAAGGCACAACCATACGCCCCCCCGGCGCGGAACCCGCCCTTCACACACACCCCCATACACGCTCCCACTCGCCCCCAGCCCAGCGCCCCGCGGGAGCGCAGCCCCCTGAGGCGCCGGTATGTGCCCGCCCCGCGGCTCCGCGCTGAGGGGGCACTCCGGTCCCTGCCCTGCCCGGGGCTGGGCGGCGGCGCGGCGTTTGTGTGCGGCCGCCGGGTCTCCCCGGGGCAGAGCCTCCGCTCAGTGCCCCCGCAGCCGGCCCTTCCCCGTGGCCTTTTTCGCAAGCCTCCGAGCCCCCGAGGATGGACACAGCGGCCAAGCGGGGCGTGGGGCATCTTCTCCGTCCTGCGCCGCAGTGGGTGCTGCTGAGGACCCCGGCCTCTGAGGATAGGGACAAACACCGGCTGTGGGGAGAAACTTGGACAATATCACTCTGGAGCGGTTGGATAGCACAGCTGCAGAGGGGTTTGGAGGCCAGGCTGCACCTTTCCACACCGACTGTACAGGGATTCCATCATTGCACAGGACTGGTCAGAAAACAGCAAACTGCAGCCGGCACTGGGAGCAGATGAATTTTCTGCTCCAGAGATTACCTATTAAGCCCTCATATTACTTAGGAGTAACCATCTCTAGCTATGTAGCATATTGTATTAGCTGTAATAAGGAAGGGCTGAAAGAGAAATATCAGCGAAGTCAAGTGGCTTCAAGGACACTACACATAAAAGCTACTTGTGAAGTTGGGGCTCCAGGCAGTGCTAGGAACAGGCACCAGCTGAACCCGGCCGTGGCTGCACCGAGGGGTTTCAGTTAAATGGCGCTGAGCCTTCTGAGGTCAATCAATAAATATGATTAAAGATACAATCCTGCTGACATTTTCACCAAAATTTTTTTACATTGTAAACGTGACAGCAAAGCTAATATTGTTTGAGTAGACATCAAAAAGCCACAATGGAATTACAGCTCCACAGCACAAATTTATCGAAGCATGCGCGCCTGAAGGTTGTGGTGCAATAAGGAGATATACAATGTAATGCCCCAAAATGTCTTTCTTTCCCACTTTGGCCTGAAACATCTTAAAATACCAGCAGCTTTCCCACTGCTGTTTGGCTTCTACAGGAGACTTCTCGACAGATGAGTGGCAGAAGAGATGCTGTTATTTATAAATCACTGTAAACATTAATAAAGTGCTGGTCACACATTCTAACTCGGCATGATTTCAGATTTTATATCCATAATGATGTTTATTTTTAACTGAAGACATCACACTGTAAACACTACACACACAGACAGTTGGGGTTGCTTGGCTGAGGTGTGGTGTGTAACTTAATGAGGCATGGCTCTTGATCATGAATCTGAGGGCCCTCACTGCTGGGTCTCACTGCATCTTTTCAGGTGTTGAAACCACCAGTTTCTCATGCCTCTGCTCACAGTTGCTGTTACCAGCAAAGGGATGGCAGGACAAGGTGGGGCTGTACCCATTGCCGCTCTGGTACAGAACCTGCTGTGCTATCTCCAGTCCATCTTCATTGGCAGTGTTCATTAAAATGCCAGTACTGCTACTGGACTAGCAGTATCCCCAGCCGGTGGGGGATAGCAGCAGAGCCGCTGTTGAGATTGATCGATCAGTTCCTAAAGCTTTACTTTGATTGAAGCTTCCCGTTAAATAGGCAAAAACTATTCGTGAAATGACTGAATTGCATTCATATTTGTGGTGCTAATTTTAACTGTGCCATTATGAAAAAAGTCTAGCTAACAGAGACTAGATGGGTATATATACTACTACAGTTTGATATACTATAGATTATAGAGCAGGCAACAATTTTTTTACATACAGTTGTACTTCAGATCATGTGGCATTTGCACATAGAAGTTTTATTATGATAGCTGAATACATGCTGGTGTAACCTCTGATCTGATAAATCCTTTGAACTATGTGTCTTCTCAGGAGCAAGGCTGATCTATCCCACATCTCCCTCTCTCCACACACACTTTCAGACCCATTCCTCATTCCAAATCTTCAGCATGGCTTTCAAAGCCTATGTCCGCTTTATAAGGCTCTGCTCCTCCTGCCAGGGTGACTCATCACCTGTCCCTCCTCTGCACCGCCTAGGCTCTGCTAATTCCATTTCTCATTTGCTGTTATCCCTCTTGAGTGCCTCATTTCCCATCCTGCCCCTTGTAAATGCCTTCCCTTCGTCTGCACATGATGTAACTTATCTTCTCAAATCCTGTCCTGTAAAACATGAACCAACCTTCTTTAATCATAAACAAAATCCTGATATGAGGGTATCCTCCTTATTTTGGTCTGTATTTTGTCTTTTTTTGCTGGATAGCTATGTAAAGAAAATCAAATAAAAGGTTAAGTAGAAAATAGTAAAGATTGGACGTAGCTGTAAGAGAGAAGGAAGCATTCTAATTCCTTTTAGCATTAAAACTGTGTAAAACACATAAAATAACATGAATTTTCCGCTTGGAGAGAACTGCAAGTTCCTAAGAGTTGTAAGTCCATTGACTCTGTATGTACTGCTCCAGAGCTCCGCTGAAGTACTTGCAGTGTCCTCCACCTAACAAGAAATAGCTGTTAAAACAGCAGTGTCATGTGCTGTGTGATGGAGATAGCTCAAACAGCTCCAAATGTGCTGGTGCAGGCACTAGAAGACTTCTAGCCACAATATCATGCATTTACTGAGTGAGTTACATTTTCCTCAAGGGCTTTCTTGAGGCGAAGACACAGCAGGCACTTGCCTCTGGCAGCAGATTTTTGAGAACAGCAACATAGCTGTGGTTCTGTTGCCCGCTTTGCCTGTGCCAGAGCCCCGGAAAGTGAGGGCTGTTCCTGTATTGCAGGGTGGAGTCAGACATGCAGGGCAGCGTGGCCAAGAAGAAGCTGACTATTCAAGCAGCAGCAATCACCATCTCACTCCTTCAGTGGGTGCTTGAACAATGAGCCCAAGCCCTTCCAGGATGCCTAGCTCCACACCTTTAGCTCCCCTTTCCAGGATAGGACTGGGCCAGTCCCAGCCCCTCACCCTCGGGGTTGACTAAGTTTTATGTCTCTTGTGCTGTCTAGAAGCTTGGAGCTTGCTCAGTTTACCCTGCTTCTTATTCACAGACAGTTTGGTTATCTCAGTATCCTAACTAATGTCCAGCCAGTTTGGACACATCTGTATCAGGTTTAAAAATAAACACTTGAACCATCAGGAAGTCTTCTGTCGCACCTCTTTTCCAGCACCGGCAGGATGAAACATTTGCTCTTTACAAACATATTTCATGCTCCTTGCGTCAATTTTCCTGCATGTTTGTGGCTTAAGATGATAATTCTCAGAAGAAAAGCAGGTGGAAAAAGCAGTTGCAATCTTGTGCAACATATTGGTGAATGAGGCATTGCAGAGATTGTGCTGGGCAGCTGAGTTCTCTGTTCCGTCACAGCAAAGGCATTACAATTGCTCATCTTACTGCTCTTTGCTTCAGACTCTAAAAGTGAAGCTATAAATCCAGAAAGACAGAAGAAGGAGGTAGGCAGGCAGGTTTAGAGATCTGTGTCTAAAGGGAGAGAAGGGAAAAAGAGAATCATCAGTAGAGTGGATGGGTAACAAGGATTACCTGAGAAGACTGTAAAACAGTAGTTCAGAAATACTGGGAGACACAGAGGTGACCAGGCTGAGTGGCTTCATGTACTGCCACCAGGGTGTGGATTCTGACCCTTTTAGGTCAGATGACCAGTAAGATCTAAAATCTATCATTTAGCCTCATGGCACTTTTCATGTGGAGTTGAAAGAGGTGTCAAGAAGTGAAAGAGCATACTCTGATATGGACAAATGAACTTAAAGCAGTCTTGATAACTTTGAATTACTAGCTGAAAAAGACTCAGGAAAACATTTGCCCAGGTTACTACAGTTTTCAGAAGTGGAAAAGATAATTTCCTACCCAGAACAGTAATTGAGCTAAAGATTTTTGTTAATGCGTGTATGTAAGTACCTGCTGAAGCAGTTGAACAAGAATGAAATCATATTATTTGTGATTAAAGATTTTGGGGGCAAATTCTGCTCTGAGCTAAAACCCCATAACTTTTAAGGCATTCCAGTGAAATTTGTCATCATTGTATTATACCAAAGCTCTATAGACTCCCTTGGTTTTTTTTTGCTTTTCTTTGATTCATGTACAAAGGCTTGACTTTAATTCACCAAAATTTTTAATGCATTGAGATCCAGCTACCTGTCTTGTTATTCGTGCTGTTTGTTTTCTGCTGCAGAGAATAAGACTCAAGATGCTCAGAACCAAAGCTCTATAGACTCCCTTGGTTTTTTTTTGCTTTTCTTTGATTCATGTACAAAGGCTTGACTTTAATTCACCAAAATTTTTAATGCATTGAGATCCAGCTACCTGTCTTGTTATTCGTGCTGTTTGTTTTCTGCTGCAGAGAATAAGACTCAAGATGCTCAGAACGGTATGATGGTTGAGATGCCTTTTTACTCCAAGAGATGTAGATTAACCCCAGACTAGCTGAGTTTAGTCTGAAGAAAAAGATCTTCCAGTTGATAGAGTCTGTTACTTCCTCCTCGAAACTATGAGACCGTGTGAGGAAGAGGACAGACACAACCTACTTTTGTACTTCTTGTT